TAAAACTACTCAGTGTTTCAGTTGATCGCGATCTTACTCTGGCTCTCGTGATCTGTTAAGCAGTGAGCTCGTCTTTTACTCAGATAGGATAGCTTTCAGAAGAAAAGGAGAAACGAGAGAAGTGTCACCCCTAAATTGTACATGGCAAAATCTGGCCGACAACAAGGGATCTAGTTGTTTTCTATTAGGACCTGAGCATGTGAGGCGGCCGTCTCTAGTCTCCATCCCACCTGGTCTATCGTTCATAAAGTCTGGGTCAAAGAATGGTCGTTATTCTGAACACGCTTACCCATTGACTCCGGTTATGTTCAAGTCCACACATGGTTAAATGCCTAACTCTCACTTGCACTGTAAGAAAACACCTAACAGAAACTCGAATACCATGAAATTAAGGCAGATCATAAGTCGGTCTTCAAAGCAGGGATCCGACTACAAACCTTGATCCGAATTACATAAAAAGGGCATTGGGAAATAGCAGTCGGGAAATTTTTGATGTACACCAAGCAACGGGAGTATTTGCCTGTTGGCGCCGCAGTGAATCAACTTGATAAATCAACGAGACTTAACCCAGCTGGTTTTTGAGGCACTAGCTAAACGTCCGTGCTATGGAAATTCCTCAAGTTACCCATGTGGAAACTTTCGTTTCCATTAACCTTGGTTCCCTATAGCGGATGCTAGATGCTGTGTTATCCAAAGCCCTCCGCTGTAGTTAGGTTCTGATATCGTTACACTTCTGTGTGTTTCCTTATCCATGGGAGCTTCGCATGTCGCTTTCGCCTGTCAGCCAACGCCGTGATACCAATAAGCATTTCTTTCTCCACGGATTGGCCGCAACCGGATGAATTCCCGAGTAGATGCACATGGGTGGACATTCGCCCGGTGAGAGCGCATGCGGCAACTGCTTGCCGAGCTCTCTGCGTCTTGTTCAAACCAGTTGCCACAGTAAGTTGGGTTTCTCTGCACAATAAGTCCCCTATTTCAATACCTTCTATCTGACCTGATGTTTGCACCACTCAGACGCTACTTATTAGACAGTTCTCGTCATAAGGGGCTATTGAGTGGAGGAAGCAGCGGGCAATATCCCGGAATCCATGATAGTCAAACTTACATAAATGGGTTAACTGGTTCTGCGAACCGACACTAATTGCACGCCTTTGCCAGTCTTCGAACTTCGTTTTTAGATCCTTCGTGGTCAATCATTAATCAAGTATTAAACCTTGAATCACAAAATCCCTCAGACATTTGGTCAGGGAAACTTTTGTCACTGGGCGGCCCTATGATTTATTCCCACCGAAGGCTGAGCTTCGGTCAAATTTGCATCGGCCTTCAGAGGCCCGCATAGCCACCTACATGCCTGGGTCACTGATCGTTGATTAGCAAACACCGCATAGCCGATTCCTGCTCTGTTTATACTTTTATCTCTGCCGAACAAGTTCAGAAAAATTAAAAAATTCTTCCAATGCTCGACCAATCCTTTTTTTCCTTACGCGTGAACGGGAATACGGTCGTGGTCGAGACGACTTCCCCCCTACAAGCGAGTGTCATGGGATCTTAGATGTCTTGATTACATGCAGTTCTCAGTAGAGAAGTCCCAGGGATAAAGCTTTGCCTAGTTGGTAGTCAAATTTTTGTGGTTGTCTCCTTTAATAAATACACGAAAGAACTTCCGTGGTTTCCTATCAGGGTCAATAAACCGTCTGATGGGGTGGAGTATTTACGTCTTAAATAACAGAATTCGAAGTCAACTGATCGTTGTAGTTGTACTTGGCTAGAGGCAACTCGCCTTTTTTGTCATGTATGCATTTTATCCGTCTAAAAGACAAGTGACACTGGTGGCTCTTCACCTAATCTCCTTTATAGTTTCGCCTTGATTTCATCGCCGGTAGGACAAGGCGCCGCTTTTTCTTGATTCTTTACAAACAGACCTTTGCCATCGCTGGGTTCCCAGACCTTTGGTTTCGGTGGGAACTTTGGTGGACGGTCCTGACGTTGGTCGACATTGTAGTTTGCCACGGGGACCGGCACCTCGGGAACAGGCTCCATTACAGAGTAGAGGAGGGGGAGGGAGATGCGTGGTCCGTCTGGTCCCTCAATGTGACCTTTAGGAGGCAGGGC